TTCCTCAGCTTCTCTATTTTTTTTATCTGTGTACTCTCTAGATTTATTAGTCATGTCTTGCACTATTGGGACAATGTCTGTTGTTATCTGAGAAATTATTTCTGATTTCATTTTTTCCATATCCTCTTTCATTGCCAGTTCAGGGAGTCCAGGTGGTTGAGTATCAGATTGTTCCATTTGCTTTCCCTTTGGCGTTGCTTTAGGTGATCTGGACGTCTGCTTTTGAGACTTGTTTATGTGTCTTCTCATTTCAAAGGGGTGGGGTGGGGTGGAGAGGATGTGTGCTGCTGGTGCCTGTGTGGCTCACCTCCTCAGAAGGTCACCTCCTTTGCTCTGGGGGCAGCTCTGCTCCTTTGCACTCGGGGCAGTGGTTTGGTGGCCCCTCTTCTCTTTTCTTTTCTGTCTGTCTGTCTCTCTTTCTCTCCCCATCCTCCACTTCCCTTCCCCATCACTCTTTGAGATATAGTCTTATTGTATAGTTCAGGGTGGCCTTGAGTTTACCATGTAGCCTAGGCTGGTCTTGCAGTCACAACCCTCCTCCTTCCACCTCCTGAGTACTGGGATTATAGGTGTTCACCATCATACCTGGCATATGCCTGACTTTTGTAATGCATGAAACATTTTCTTCTGTTCCTAAGGATTCTGCAGGGGGTTAATTAGTAAGACAATAAAGATAGAATTTGGAAAAGCTTTTGTTTCAAAGCATTTTGCTGTGTTTCAAGCCAGAGAAAAGACTGTATGAAATAAAAGAAATAGAGATCCTTCTCTTCTGGGGCTGAGGACAGAGGCCTTATTCTTGACCAGTATACACAGTCTCTTTTACTTTCTTTGGTTTTTTTTTTTTTTTTTTTTGGTACTGGGGATTAAACTCAGGACCTTAAACTTCCAAGGCAGGAGTGGCGCCCCTGAGCTAAATCTCTGGCCCTCTTTTTTACTTTCTGACATAACTTTTGCCAAACCTATGGAGGAGGAGGTTGGGAGACTGGGAAAATTGTTAGAAAAATGAATTTTAGTAAGCTTAGTGTTTTAATTGTTGTATTCCCTTCCCTTGTATAAAATTGATTAAAAATCTTGTTTTTAGAATAAATACAATTTCTTTGCTATTTATGCATCACTGCAGATTCAGTTTACAGGTGGTTTACAATCTGAACTTGTAGGTAAGGAATATTGCCATCAGGTGGCAGTAGATAACTTGGTTATGGGGTTCAAATTTCCACGCACAAACTAATAAGCAGGTTCTGGTTAACTTGGAGACAGATTAGCACTATTCAGTGTTCTGTTTTTCTTTCAAAAATTGTTTTAACATTAGTAAGATATATAAATCCAGAAACACTATGGAGCCCTTTGATTAAAGCTTTAAACTTTTGTATTAAAAAATGAATGCCTTGTAATTCTTTTTTTTCTTTAAGCAGCAACTATTAGTAGTTCCTTTTTTTTCTTTCTTTTGGTCTTTTGAGATAAGGTCTTGTTGCAGATCCTGGCTTCAAACTCACAATCTTTCTTTCTCAGCCCCCCAAGTGTTGGTACTACAGGCATGACCCACCATGCCTGGTTCTGCAAATTCACTTAACTCTAATTTTGGTCCTTGTTATCATTTCTGGGAGTCTAGCATTCACTCTGGTTTTGATCTTCTGGGGCCAATAGCTTCTGGGACATTAGGTTTGTTTGACATCAAAATTTCCTTTGCTATCAACAGAGTGAAAAGGTAGCTCATGGAACAGGAGAGAACATTTGGAAATCATATATCTGACTAGGAGTTAATATCTAGAATATATTTTCACAGAGAAAGAAGTCCTATGACTCCACAACATAAAAACAACCGCATTAGAAGATGGGCAAAGGACTTAAGTAGGCATTTTTTTCAAAGGAGATATACAAATGACCAAGAAACACATGAAAACATACTCAGCATCACTGATCTTAAGGAAATGTAAATCAGAGCCACAATGAGATACCATTTCATGCTCCCTAGAATGGCTATTATTAAAAAAACAGTATAACAAATGTTGATTAGGGTATGGATAAATGGGAACCTTACACTGGTAAGAAGGTAAAGTGGTACAGGTGCTGTGGAAAACTATATGAAAGTCTTTGAAAAATTAAAAAATAGAATTACTTTATGATTCAGCAATTCCACTTCTGTGTATACTCAAAAGAATTAAGCCGAGGAGTTAGCTCAGTGGTGCCGCCTCCTGCCTTGCAAGCGCAAGGTCCTGAGTTTGATCCCTAGTACCAAAAAAAACAAGGAAAAAAAAAAGAATTAAAAGTAGGGTCTTGAGGAGATATTTGTTCAATGCTTATAGCAGCACTGTTCACAGTAGCCAGCAGGTGGAAGCAAACCAACTGTTCATTTGTTATTGAGTAAACAAAATGTGGTATATACAGAGAATAGAATATTATCGATCCTTAAAAAGAAGGAAATTTTGACATGTTATGGATGGACCTCAAAGACATTATGCTAAATAAAATAAGCCAGTCACAAAAAGGCAAATATTGTACAATTCCACTTATACAAGTACCTAGAATAGGGCCGGGGATTTAGCTCAGTGGTTTCGCCGCCTGCCTCGCAAGTGCAAGGACCCGAGTTTGATCCCCAGTACCAAAAAGAACAAAAACAAAAACAAGTACCTAGAATGGTCAAATTCATACAGACAAAAAGTGGAATAGAAGTTGTCAGCATCTGGGGGTATGAAGGGAATAGGGAGTCATTTAATAGGTATAGAGCAGTGGTGGCAAACCTATGGCATGCATGTTGTTTCTTTTAAGACAAAAATGTTAATGTATGAGTTGTTTTTTTCTAAACTAAAACCTAAATATTCAGGTTTAATTGCAGGGTTAGCACCTTGTGATAAGTAAGTGGGTTTTAGGTTGCAGTTTGGATGCTGCACTCGTCTGTCAAAGGTTCACCATCACTGGTGTAGAGTTTCTGTTTGAGAAGATGCAAAGAATTATGGAGATAAATGGTGGAGTGATGGTTGTACAACACTGTGAATACACTTGATGCCACTGAACCATACACTTAAAAATGGATAAAATGGTAAATTTTATGTATATTTTTCATAGTTTTAAAAATATTTCCTTTACTAGAACTCTAGAAGTACATTCACCTGTTCAGATATGGCTAGTATAAATGAACAACCTTAGTTTATTATCATTTTTTCTTATCAGTTGGAAAAATCTGTCATTCCCTGCTATAAAAATTATTGATAAAATCTATGTCAAACAAGTGTTTCTTTAACTGAAGATAGATGGTGTAGTTTTCTCTCTCGGTGAACTCTTCTGCTATTGCCTTTAGGTGTATTGACTAATTATTGCTTGAAATATAAATAGATAGTATCTGCCTTGGCTGCTACCCACTTTTTTGCCAAGAGAATTTAGAACTTTAAAATTTATACAGGAGCTTATAATTCTATCAGTATAAAACATTTTAGAACAAGAACTTTATATTTTTATTAACATTATTATTATTATTTTTTTGAAATAGAGTCTTGCTGTGTAGTCAGGCTGGCCTCAAATTCATGATCCTCCTATCTTAGCCTCCCAAGTGCTGGGATTACAGTTATGTGCCACCACTCCTGGCTTTACATGCAGAGATTCTTGAGCTGATAGTGTGTGTAGGCTTTGTTCAGTAGCTCTGCAGTGGTGTAATGAGATGTCTTTTTAACAGTTCATTGGAAGCTTTACAACCAGTCCTGTGGCACCCCACTTTAGCGTCCTCTCAGGTGATACCTGATTTCTGAAAAGAAGGTGTTTGTATTTTTTCCAGCATTTCTGTGTTTTTGCTATTTGATTTCTATCCTTTATTTAAAAATAAAAAATTATCCCTCCTCAGCTTTATTAATGTACAGTTGACAATCTGTCCTGCTTTGATCTCTCTTTTGGCTACATTTTTCCTCCAGAATTCCTCATGTAGATTAATTTATTAAATCAGAATATCCTGAATATTGATGATATTTATTATGTAGAGTTAATGTTTTAGTTTTTGCATTTTCTTGTTTTAATTTTTTTTTCTTTTTTTGGGGGTGAGTACTGGGGATCCAGCCCGGGACTTTGCGCTTGCGAGGCAGGCAGTGGAACCACTGGGCTAAATCCCCAGCCTTTGGATTTTCTTGTTTTAGAATTAAGATTTGTTCTTTAAAGGGAAAAAAAGGAAGATTTCTCCAAAGATGGTAAAATTGTCACTGTCAATTGTTATAGTAGGTTACATCAACTTCTAAACTGTTCAGAGATGAAAAGCTCTAAAACCTTTTAGTCTTGCTCTGAATGGCAGTATAGTCATGTGATCCTGTTAAGAAGGCCTGTACCTGCCCTCTTATAGCTATATTGGGATCTCATAGAATTTCTCCAAATTCTCCAGTTCTGTGTGAGAATGTGACAGGGAAGCAAAATCTTAGAGCAGAACAGCCTACATATCCTTTAGTGGGGAAGGGGAAGGGACTCTTAACAGCTACCAGAGGCAACACACTTTGGGGAAAAAAATCTGTGTTGGTAAGTAACTGATATTTCTTTTATGGTTTCAGAGGAACACTGCAATTGGCCTATATTAGCTCTTTTTTTTTTTTTTTTTGGTACTGGGGATCGAACTTGGGACCTTGCGTTTGCAAGGCAGGGGCGGAACCACTGAGCTAAATCCCCAGTCCTGCTCATTTAAATTAACTATAAAGGTGCTTCTAATATCTCAGCCCTTTTAAGTATGTAGGAAAGTGATTATTTACAAAAGCAATGATTTCAGGTGTTTTAGTAGATGCTTGACCTTCTTTTTATGAGGTGGTCGGAGAGTACATGCAGAAGTTGTCAGAATGATGTTTTTTGTTTTTTTGGTACCGGCGATCAAACTTGGGTCCTTGAGCTTGTGCAGCAGGCAGCGAAACCACTGAGCTAAATCCCTGGCCCTGAATTTTTTTTTTAACCTAAGGAAATTATAGTTTTGAAGGCCAGTATACCTACACGAGAGATACAGTAAGTGTTTATAAATCAAATCTTTTCTGTTCCTAAATCAGCGCAAAGTCCTGGGAAATCAGATGATGTCAGAAAAGAAAAAAAAGTACCCTGCTCCAGAGTCTGTGGCCATGGGTGAATTGAAGAACACCAGCAAGGAAAATATGAATTTAGTAAGATATTGTTCTGTGGACTTTCTGGGTGTGTACATTTGTAGAAATGAGGAAACTGATATACTGTCATTTGGTTTGCTCTGTTTCTCCTGGCCATTCAACTGTTTTCAACTATTTTAACATTCAACTATTCAACTAGTTGGCTTTTTTCTCAATTAATCCTTTTATTTATACTATCTTCTCTCAGTGGGTTTTCATTGAATCATTTCTAATGTCTCATTTCTAAAATCTCATTTGGAGTTCAAGAAGGATATAGCTAGTCACAAGCACAGATGACCAATGCAATGGAATAGCTCAGAAACAAGTGCTGGAAGGTATAGTTAATTCTTTTTGGGAGACCTCGCAGTATAGAGCACATTTAATCCAGGCCTCCTTGGCTCTGTATTACCTGTGGGGTACTTCTTCAAGGTATCCCAGGCACAGCTACTTCATTAAATCAGCATGAATTAGTTAAGATTAATGAAGTATAAATATGTCAGTCTTGGTAAAACTCCTCACATTGAAATTGAATGAGTAAATAATTCCTGTTAATAAGGTCTGTCTATAGCACTGACATTAGTCCATAACATTTTCTTGTTACAGTTATTTTCTAGCTCTCCCACTGTTGTGATGACACCAACAAGATTGAAATGGTCTGAGGGGAAGAAAGAGGGGAAAAAAGGTATCAATTGTACTTATTCTCTGTTCTTACTGAATATAGTTCCCTTCTGCAAGTAGTCAGTCAGCAGTGTTTGTTTTGAATTCCCAGGGTAGTATAATTGTAGTCAGGAAGAATATAAAAATGACAAGGCCAGGTCTTTACCCTTGAATTCCTTCATTAAATGGATATACTACTCAGTACTGCCCTAGGTGTTGAGGGGTAGAGCCTCAAGCAGATGACCTACCTGATTCCTGCCATCTGCAACACCAGGCCACAGGCATAAGCTATCTTAAGAGTACTTGTTAAGCAAATGAAAAGCAAATGTAATTTGAGACCAAGAGTAGCAGTGCTGAGTATGTATGGTCGTAGTATGTATGGTCCTTTTTCTGTGTAGATGTTAACCTTAATCAAAGAAGCATCCTAGGTGTTGAAGGGACTTGGAAATCATATTATGCAATTGCTATTTGGTTCAGAATGGATTCTTTAATGCTGGGACTGATGAATGTCCCAGGCTTTTCTGGCAACAGACTGCTGTGCTTTCCTCTGAAGGAGCCAGTGACTCACTGGAAAGAAAGATCATGAGATATGTGATACTCCTTAATTGAATCCTCATTCTCATCCAGGCAAATCATTCATTGTTTCAGAACTCAAGTTTCCTCCTCTGAAAATGAGGCTGAAACAGATTTAGCACTCTTAATCTAGAACTCTGAAAGCTGAGATGCTCTAAAAATCTAAACTTCTTGAGTCCCAATTATTTTGGCTTTCAGAATTTTGGATTGGGGTTGTTTAACTCGTCTATGCAAATATCCCAAAATCCAAATATCTCCAAAATCTGAAACTCGTGGTTCCAAGAAGTTTGATGAAGGATAATCATTCTATAGTTATATCTATTTCACAGGATTATCATGAGATTCAGCTGAAATGTTTTGGAAAAACATAATTGTTAAAGCATCAACAAGTTGTAATGGTTGTTATTAAAGAAAAGCAGAGCAGACTTGGCCTTGCGATACAAGGTTCAGGTAGTAGATGAAGTGTTCTCAGGCTTGACATGCTCATTTTATCACCAAGACAGCATAATTACTGTTTGAGACATCAGCAATAGAAAACACACACATACACATACACACATAGACACAGACACACACAAAGAAACCAAAGCTCAATCATTGTGGATAAATCCTATTTTTTTCTGGAATATTGGATTTTAGTATAGTCTTGTTACTTACATTTGAATGAATTATCTGAGCTTTCTTTTCTGTCCTCATTGCTTTTGACCTTTCTAGGCAGGGCTCACTGATTGAGGCAAGATCGGTGTTTGAGTTATTTATGTCTAAATATTTTTGTCCTATATATTTGTGAGTTAAAACCAAGCATAAGTTATTTATTTATTTTTTTTGCATAAGTTATTTTTGAAGGATACATTGCTGTGTATCAGTTATACCTTTTGTTACTTTCATTTTTGAAGATAAGCAGGAAATAATAAATCTTTCTAACTTGACAATTCTATTTTGGAAAGAAAGAAAGGAATTTAACAAATAAGTCAGTGTAGTATTTCACCAAGAACTTTTAGAGCAGGGTGATTTTTTATTTTCTTTCAGCACTGGAAATTGAACTCAGAGCTTTTCCTCTGAACTATACCTTCCATCCTTACCTCCTTTATTTTAATTTTGGGACAAGTCTTGCTAAGTTGCTCAGGATGGGCTCTAACTTGTGATCTTTCTGCCTTAATCTCTTGAGTAGCTAGGGTTATAGGCGTACATCACCATATCTGCTAGAACAGGGAGTCTTGACTTGTTGTTTGTGGACTAAAGTTTCTTTTTGTTTTTTTGGTACCAGGGATCGAACTCAGGACCTTGTGCTTGCAAGACAGGCAGCGGAACCACTGAGCTAAATCCCCGGCCCTAAAGTTTCTTTTTGTTTGTTTGTTTGTTTTCTGGTACCAGGGATTGAAGTCAGGACCTTGCACTGGCCAGGCAGGCACGGTGCCACTGAGCTACATCCCCAGCCCTGTTTGTTTGTTTTTTGAAACAAGGTCTCCCTATGTAGTTTAGGCAGGCTTTGAACTCACTATGTAGCATAGGCTGGCCTCAAACTCGTGGCCTTAGCCTCCTGAGTGCTGGGACTACAGGTGTGTATCACCACGCCTGGATTAAAGTTTCTATTGTTAATACAGTGTATTTTTTCTTTCTTCAGTACTGGGGATTGAGCCCAGGGCCTCGAGCATGCTAGTCAAGTACTGTTCCACTGAGCTACATCCTCAGCCCTTTGAAAATTTTATTTTGAAACAGAGTCTTGCTTAGTTGCCGAGGCTGACATTGAATTTGTGATCCACCTGCCTTAGCCTCCAGAGTAGCTGAAATTACAGGCATGTGCCATCATACCAGCAATGCAATCTTTTATGTGAGTGCATGTGTGCATTTTTTCCATGTTTTTATATACAATGTGTATGTGTGCATATATATAGCTTTTATTAGATTCTTAAAAATGTTAATGGTTTAGAAAAGTAAAGGCCCACAGATAATAAATGATCTTCAATTGGACCAAGCAAGGGCATTTCTGCTTTCCTCTCTCTCTGGTCGTTTCCTATATCCTGACACAGCTACCTTGGTATAATGTTGTTATTTTTATTTTCTTCCTTCCTCTAATTCTTTTCCTTTTACTGGCTTTCTATTGTCTGCATAGCCATCTGCTTTCATTTGTTGTTCTTAAAATCTGTTAAAGTTCTCTGTTCTTTCCTTTTACTCCCACTCCCCTTAGTGGCTTAGTGTATTTCCACAGTCCGTTCTGCTCTCTGAGTGGTAACTATTCTTCAAATAACATCTCCAGGTCTGAACTGTCTTCTCCAAGCCTCCAAATCCGGGGGCCTGCCATATATTTCTTTTACACAACAGTGTGTACAATCTTAGAGTTTTGATATTGATGTTTATAAAAGTAACAACTATTTTTTGAAGAAGATAATGCAATTTTATCATCTTCATCAACAGCATAATAAAAAACCACTTCTATTTAGCAAAGAGTGTCTCAGCCTGTGCATTGCTGACATTTTGGGTTATTAATTACTTGTGAGAGCTCCCCTGTGCATTGTATGATGTTTGGCAGCATCCCTGGCTTCTACCTAGTAGATGACACTGACACCTTTCACCCAGTTGTGACAGAAATATTTCCAGACATGACTAAATGTCCCCTGACAACTGATCTAGTACCTACTTATTAATGGGCATTATTTTCAGCAGTGAAAATCTTTTTTTTTTTTTCCTTTTTTTTTTTTTCTTTTATTGGTACATTTTAGGTATACAACACGTTTACATTTATCATTGGGTGCTTGTACCTGTACATGATGTATTTTGGTTCTTATCTTTCTCCCATTACCTGTGCGCCCTTCACCCCCTCCACTCTTCCCTATTTACATACTTTGTTTCCATTTTTTTTTCTTTCTCATAATTTTTCCTTTCCCTTCTTCCCTTTCCCCTTCCTCTCCCACCACCCCTACACCTTTGGACCTTTTCCTATTTCAAATTATCAATTATTTTAATCATTTTCATCCTTATTTACACTTTCAGTTTCTCACACTAGAGAAACTATTCGGTATTTACATGTGTGTCCTATTTATTTCACTTAAAAGTATGGGCTCAATATGCATCCCTTTAGCTATAAATGTCTCTAGTTTCTCATTCTTTATGGCTTAGTAGTACTCCATTTTATAAAAACCACATCTTCTTTATCCAGTTTCCAGTTGATGGGCACTTGGGCTGTTTCCAAGCTTTAGCTATTACAAATTGTGCCGCTATAAACATAGGTGCACATATATTGCTGTGATATGATTCTGATAATTCTTTGGGGAAGATACCCAGCAGGGGAATAGCTGGGTCAAATGGGACCTCTAGTCCTAGTTCTTTGAGGTATCTCCATACGGATTTCCACAGTGGTTGCATCAGTCTGCACTCCCACCAACAATGGAGAAGGGTTCCTTTCTCTTCACATCCCTGCCAGCATTTGTTATTGGTTGATTTCTTGAGAGCAGCCATTCTTTCTGGGGTGAGGTGGAATCTCAGTGCTGTTTTCATCTGCATCTCTCGAATGACCAGTAATGTTGAACATTTTTTCATGTATTTATTTGCTGCTTTTACTTCTTTGTCTGAGAAATGTCTGTTCATTTCAGATGCCCATTTTTGAATTGGGTGTTTGAATTTGGGTGGTCTGATATTTTTCAATTCTTTATATATTCTCGATAGTAGACCTTTGTCTGAGGTACAGCTGCTAAAAATTTCTTCCCATATTGTAGGTTGTCTCTTAGCTCTGTTGGTTTCTCTTGCAGTGCAGAAGCTTTTTAATAAGATGAGATCCCAGTTGTTGATTCTTTGTGCTAGCTCCCGTGCTACTGAAGATTTGTTCATAAAGTCTTTTCCTATGCCAATATCTTCAAGAGTTTAGAGAACACTTCTTTGGGGAATTAACAAGCACGCTCCTCTAAATTAATTTTGTGAAGTCTCAACCCAGATGACTACTAATTTTCAAAGTAATAAACTGTTTTACATGGAATTTCCTATATAAATCCTTATAGGTTCTTTGATACACATGATGATATATTTCACTTATTTTTAATTGACAATTACTGTACATATTTAGGTAGGTAGAATGTGATATTTGATACATGTATATGACGTATAGTGATCAAATTAGGGTAATTAGCATTTCCATAAACGTTTAAGCTTTCTTTGTGTTGGAAACCTTTGAATTCCTCTCTTCTAGTTCTTTTTAAAATATGTATAAAATTGTTGTCAACTACAGCCACTCTATAGGGCTATAGACACTAGAACTTTTTCCTCAGATCTAACTATACTTTGGTACTTGTTATCTGACCTCCTGCTGTCCCCTCTCGCTTCTACACTTCCTATCCTCCAGCAATCACTGTTCTATTTTCAACTGCTATGAAACTGACTTCTTTGTATTCCACATATAAGTGAAAACGTGGTATTTGTCTTTCTGTGTCTGTCTTATTTCACTTAACATTATGTTCTCCAGTTGATCCATATTACTTCAAATGACAGGATTTCATTTTTATAGCTGAATAATATGCCATTGTGATAAATCCACTTGCCTGGTGATGGGGTGATGGGCACCTTGGTTGATTTCATGTCTTGCCTATTATAAATAGCATCACAATAAACACACAATCACAGGTATCTCTTTGATATGTTGATTTTGTTTCCTTTGGCCATATAACCATCAGTGGGATAGGCGAAACCTTTAGTTTTTGAGGACTCTGCTTACTGTTTTCAATAACAGTTACGCACTAATTTACATTACCATCTTCCTCATTCTTGCTAGTAATTGTTATTTTCTGTCTTTCTGTTAATAGCCATTCTAACTGGGGTAAGATGATGTCTCACTGTAGCTTTGATTTGCAGTTTCCTGATGATTAGTGATGCTGAATATTTTTCATATATTTCTTGGCCGTCTGGGTATCTTCTTTTGAGAAAGGCCTATTCAGATCATTTGCCCATTCTTTAATCAATGTTTTTCTACTGATTTGAGTTCCTTATATTTCTGGATATTAATCCTTTGTCAAATGAATATTTTGCAAATATTCTCTCCCATTCTGTAAGTTATCTCTTCACTCCACGATTGGGTTCTTTGTTGTTGTGTTCATTTTAATCCAAGTTCTGCATTTTAATTGATCCACTGAAAGATAATCTTGGCAAAGCAATCTAGGCGACTCCCATGTGCTCAGGGCAGTGCAGCTTGACACAGTATCTTCCAGGACACTGAAAAATCCTTCTTTGCAACTATAACAGACCTGGGTGCCCAGCCTCGAGCTGTAATTTCCTATAATATAGCCGCCCAGGACCTCTGGAGGGGGGCTGCAGTCTATTTCTGGCATCTAGGCATATTTCCAATGGTGGTTTTTATTCAATCCTCTGACCTTCCATAGATAATTATCCATAGAAATACATGAACAAACCTGTGCAGAAGGTGCCGTCATTGGGGATGAATGTCTTGTTGTTGTTTGTAGCTCGATAGCCTTCAAGGCAGACACAGTAGAAGCCTCCGAGGGTGTTGTGGCAGGATGTGTGGTTCCCGAAGACCACAGTGGCTCCTAACTGGCACTCATTTTTATCGACACACTGGGTCCTCCCGTTGCCCATGAAGCCATAGTTGCACATATAGATCTTCCTGCCATCTCTCTGCTGGCACGTGGCATGTTCATGGCAAGTGGCACAGACATCTAAACCCGAATCAGAAGTTGTAGATTTCAGAAAAAGGGAAGTCCACAATGATGAATGTAACTGTATTGTATCAGCAGTGAAAATCTTAATTTCCACTTCCTCTTTGAAACACCTGGCTAACCCAGCCAGATAGAATTACTATCTTGCTTTGAAGTCTGACTGATGCTATTAATATAATTTTTGATATTTATTTTACATGTATTGTCTCATCTCTGTATCTGGTTTATCTTCCAGAAGACTTAATATATTTGTAGCCCTTTGTCTCCTACTTTGCCCTGGTAGCCATTTACTGTACATTTGCTGATGAGAGGCAGTAGTGATAAGAGCATGAACTCTCATTCACTTAGGAGGCCAGTTCCCTGCTTTGCTGCTTAATAGCTATGTGTCCTAGGGCAAGTTCACTTGTGTAGGCTACAGATTCTTCAACTAAAAAAAATGGCAGGTAGTTGCATAGGTAGTTGTGATGAAAAACAAGATAATGTACATGAAGAACTTAGGGCAACACCTGGCAGAGAATATGCAATTACTACATGGCTGGTGTTTTTGCCAGTAAGATGATTTAATGATCAGGCAAAGTAGGTGGTTTTCTTGAAAGAGAGTCAAATTCTCAATTTCTTTCTCTCTTAGGTTAGAGAAAATATTTAGTGTAGATTCTGTACCTTTTAGATGGGATGTTTGCAAAAAGTAATATTTATAAACATATCTAATACTCTTGTTTCTTCTTCATCCTAGGATTCCTGTGAAGGATCTAGAGTCCTCCTGTCATCCACCCAGAATGTAGTGGGCCAGGTGTCATTTCTACTCATAGTGAAGCTTGGACTTGCAGCTTGCTTGCTGCTCTTTGAACTGAGGAAGCCAACTAATCCTGTGACCCGACTGATACCTCTAATCCTACTCACTGGATGACATTTGCAAGCTGTGCCTTCAGAGAGAGTGCTAGACTCCCTCTCTCTCTTTTTTAATATTATGGGAAAACCACTAACCAGCCAACAACATATACAGTCAGTAAATGGGCAGAACCAGGGTGGCTCTAGTGCGCATTCAGTGTTGTTAGACCAGTTCTGTTTTTAAAAATACGAAATTTTGTGCTCAACTGCCATTTTTTGGAAGAAAGTACTGTCAATCCTAATGGATTGATATTATTTTTTAACTGATATTTTGAACTTTTCTCATGTTTTGATGTGTTATTTGTTTGTTGTTTATTTGTTTTAAAATCCATGTTTGGGGATTGGTAATCAAAATGGGCTGTAAGCTTTTCACTTTAAGCTCTGGGAAAGTTCTTTATCCCATAAGGCCATATTCTCTATTATCTTATTTGTCTTTAAATAATTTATAGCTTTCTTAGAAATTTTAAATTATCTTTTTGGGTCCAAGATTGCAGAATATTTGACCTCCAGTATCGAAAAGGAGAATTCAGAACAGTATTTTAGCAAATTTCAGTTATTTAACTATTTTTCCTCCCTTCTTCTGTTCCTCCTTCCCTTCTTTATCTCTCCAAAACTTCCCCTTTTCTTAGTGATATGAAAAAATTGCGTGGTTACTGAAGTTGTTTACTTCACTCAGTATCCTCTCGTAAAGTCACTGACAGCCTTATAGAGGTTTGTTGAAATCTTAGTATGTGATGGGAAGCTCTGGAGTGTGCCCAGGAAGAGGGTGGCTAACAGGGTGGAATCTATTGCACCTTCCCAGGAGTCAGGTGTGCAGCTAGACCATCTCCCGAGAGCAGGTTGAAATCAGAGGAGGGGAGTAGATGGTCTCTATAGCGGCCATAGGATGAAAGGAGAGAGCATTCTTATTTGGAAATAGTTGTGGCTTATCACCAGGGCTCAACAGCAATTGCTCCACTGCCCTATCTTTGCCAGAATGGGCATAGGTGGCAATTGGGAGATGGGGCTAGAGTATTTGGCTTTTGGGTTGGGTATGTTCATACAGGTTTGAGGTAAGCAATGGCATGGCATTGATCTTATTTGAAGTACTCATTGCCTAGAGAGTAGTGTGTGGCAGGTGAGAATATTCAGGTTTATGCCTGGCTTATAGCATTCTTACCCTGTGTGTTAGAGCTAAGTCAGACCCTCTGTGGAAAAGAAGGTGCCTAGCAAAATATTGTTTGCTAACCTATCTTTAAACAATTGAAAATGCTGCATTATTGCTGAAATGAAAGATGACTCTGGAGTAGCAGTTTGGCTTTGTGTCTGGCTGTCAGCTCTCTCTTCCATACTATACTGTTTCTTTTACTGCTATTATCCCATTTATGGAGAAAATGTAAAATTTGGCCTTCCAACATAATAGATTGGGCAATAAATGTGTAGAAGTATAAAACTGCTTAGAAGCCCCTTACTCTACAGCAGTCTTAGGTCATTCTTTGAAATATGCAAAAGTAAATTCATATGACTGTTTTTTTCTCATTAAGAAAAAATGCATTTTCTTATATCAGATAACAGCAAATTCAAACAGAGACCCCTTTTGGTATCATCAAATCAAAATAGTGTTCTTCCTTAACTTGATACTTTTTTCTTTATTTAAGTGTGTTTCATCCTGGAGTGGTATGGTGGTCTCTTAAGTATGGTCTGGTGTCAGGTGGACGGAGCAGTGCAGTGACACAATGCCTGCTTGTCATCCAGTCATTTGGTGCTGTTTGAAAGAAATGGCTGAGACTTAGGATATGCTAAAGGGATCAGTCACTTAGGGCAGCGTTCTGGGGTGAGGATGACGAGAGAGGTGTTTACCACGTGCACATGCTTGGGCAGTTTATATGTGTATATGGTTATGTGTATTTATTTATTGAAAATGTGACCATTGTTTTAAGGGTATTATAGGTCATTTTTCTTATAGAAGCTGGGATCCAGCTGGAAACCAAATTTGAAGAGTAAGGAGCGAAATTTTCTACCTTATAATCTGTAACTATTCTAATCCTGTGGACTCTTATGATAAACTCAGAAAAAACCCTTTTTCATTTCACAGAAGGTTACTGTGTCCTTTATGACTTAGTAGGCAGGTATTTTTGAGCCAGTGTTTAATTAATTTTTTTAACCTATAAGATGTTTAAAAATCTCTTTTATTGTGTTTATTTTTCGTATTGGAACAATCTCTTTGGAAGTGCCTCTTCTTATGGTTTTTAAAGTTTCATTTTTTTCTGGGGTCAGTTGCTTTGGGTTTTGATGTGGTGTCAATTTGGGCCAGTGCATTTGTGCCAGAGGAACACAGCATAAAAACACAGACCATTTCCTTGATTCAGATCTGTTGGGGGTGAGCTACATTGGGTAAATTAGTGGAAGTCACAGGCACTGAGTTTTTACCCTTTTGCAACAATGGGCTTCGGCATTTGGGACCATTGAATCTGGTTTGAAAAACCCTACTGTAGCAGTGAAAGAGGATCAGGAGATAGTGGTTATACCTGAGTGCCAGAACATACTAGAGGAGTAGGTAATGACTCATAACTGAACTACAGCTCATCATGCACAAAGGAAAGCCCTTTACCCTCAATGTCCTTCCAGAGTCAGTCAGGAATGACAACGGGACACCCTTGGGAGATGGAGTGGGTAGTACAAGGTGGTTGACTATTGTGACCATTAGATGTGGCAAGTGGCTGTTTTGTTGGCCCATAAGGAAGGCAGTTGATCCTGGTATCAGAGCAGAGCCATTCTTTCCTCCTGGGTAGAAATATTTCTGTTCAGCTTCCCTCATAGGAGCCTATGGTAGCATATGGTTTAAAATACTGCATTCTAGGGAAACTTGTGATCACTGGGACTGTGCCCCACAGTGACTGGCCCTGTGACCATGCAATGGGAAGCATTTTTGAGAATGGCCATCTCTAGACTCCATCTACTTCTATGCTTTTTGAGGGCCTCGCAAGGAGTTGGAAGGTGATGGCTTCCATTCTGAGGCCTCTTCTATATAGAACTGCTTTTCCCAGGAGAGAACCTCATTCTTTCCTTCCTTTACTTTGAAGGCTTTGCACTAAAATCAGGATCTGATCTAAACCTGAATACCAGCAGGACTACCCAGGATTTGGGAAAAATTTGAGTCCCTAAGATGCAAAGCTTTTGAATGCAGTGGTGATAAGCCAGTGGCAAACTCACTGTGGGAAGCTGACTTTATTAGACAACTAATGCTGAAATCAGGGTAGAGTTGTTGGAGGCAGGTTAGTGAGGAGGTGGAGTACAAATAGCTGGAGTGCTTGGGTTACCATGGAAACTGGAGTGTGTGAGGCGAAAGCCACAATAAAGAGCCATTGAGCCTGCCTCTGACTTGTGTAGGGACCAGCACAACCTGTCAGGAAAAACATACCCTCACCCAGGGTATGTCTTTGGAGCAAAGTTTGACTTTGCCCTGTCCCTGAGCTCACTCAAAAACCTGACTAGGTTTCTTAAGAGAAGGTTTCACCATTTTTCTTTCTCATTCTTGTTTGACCATATATATATATATATATATATATATATAATGTATGTGTGTGTAATTGTAAAGAAACATGCATTGTGTTTTATATCCATGTAATATCTTGAAATTAAATTTCTTTTGTTTCATATCCACAGGCTTTGACTGGTCTCTCATGCACATTTTGATGGATGGATTATTTTGAAGAGAAATTGCCTATCATTCTGAGCAGTGGGAGGCCTCTAAGAGACTCCTTTTTAACTTGTTTTCCAGCTGGGTGGGCGAGTAGGGTTAGGAAGAGTGGGGCTTTGGGCAGATAAGTGAGATTAGAGCTGCTAGGCTTCTGAGCTTGCCTGAGTTTAGAATGAGTTGTACTGATCTGTTTCTCACATAACCTTTTATTTTCTTGGTTAAACATGAGCTGGGTATAGCAGTGCATACCTGTAGTCCCAGCTATTTGGGAGGCTGAGGCAGGAGGATTGCAAATTCAAGAGCAGCCTGGGCAACTTAGGGAGACTCTGACTGAAAGTATAAAAGGGTTGGGGATGTAGCCCAGTGCTTCTGCACTTGCCTAGCATATGTCAGTCCCTGGGTTCAATCCCTGGTACTACAAAACAAAAAAATAAAGGAGGGGATGGGGAGATGATAGTTACAGTAAAAGTTAGTTGATATTTTCATATGGGAACCGAAGGGGCAGTATTTAGATAAATTTTGTTTAATTGTTTCTGCTACTTTCTTAGTCCAGGTTGCTATAGCAGAATACCATAGACGTCTAAACACAAATTCCTGGGTGCAGTGGCCTGTGTCTCAGCTACTATAGACTGAGTATAGACTATACCTATTTTCTCAGCTACTTGGGAGGCTGAGGTAGGAGGATCACTTGAGCTCAGGAGTTCAAGACTAGCCTGGACAACATAGTGAGTGCCCTTCCCACGAAACAAAGCAAACCACATCAAAACAACAATAAACCCACAAATGTATTTATCACGATCTGGAGGCTACAGTTTAAGATAAAGGAGCTAGCAAGTTTGGTATCTGATGAGGTCTACTTCCAGGCTTGTAGACTGGCCTCTTCTCTGCAACCTCACATGGTGGAGGGAATGAAGGATCTCTTTGGGGTCTCTTTTATAAAGGCATTAACCCCATTCTTCAGGGCTTTGCCCTTATTACTTATCGTCTTCCAAAGGCTCCACCTCCAAATAACCTTATATTGGGGATTAGGTTTCAGTATGAATTTTGGGGGAACACAAATATTAGATCTACTGCAGCTACCATTTAAGACTGAACCTCTGTATCCTCTCATTTACAAGCTCAACAAGGCCATGCCCAGCACAGAGATTGTATTCTGGGGTCTGCGGTTGTGCTTTAGGAAAACATCTGCCCCTGTAATTTTATGTGAAATTTTGTGTCCATTTGCAGTTTTCTAGGGGAGAGATTTCATAGCTTCCACAAGAACTCAGAGGAGTCCTTGACCCCTGAAATACTAAGAAGCACTAGCTTTCCTTCCATGCTAGCAAATGGCAAGTATTTATTAAATGTTAATTCTCTCTCTCTGCCAAGGATTAATTTTATAATCAGCAGATTATTCATGCTGATGTAGTTATTTTGATAACAAAGGAGCTACTTAAATCCCAAATAGAAGGAAAAACTGCAGTTGTCTTTGTCTTTACTGTTAACTACTCTTGTGCTTTTTTTTTTTTTTTTTTTTTTTTGAGACAGGGTCTCACTATGTAGTTCAGACTGGCCTTGAACTCACTATATAGCCAAGGCTGGCCTTCAACTTGCAGTGATCCTTCTGCCGCAGCCTCTCCAGTCCTGGGATTACAAGCATGTGCCACCATGCCTGGCTCTTATGCTCTTCTTTAGCCAGGTTAGCTTTGTAGATGGTTCTCAGAACTACCTGTCTCTCCATGTCTCCCAAGGATCAACATGGATTATATGCTGTAAAGAAAGCAGCCAGGGCCAGGGATTTAGCTCAGTAGTTCTGCTGCCTGCCTCGCAAGCACAAGGTCCTGAGTTCGAGCCCTGGTACCAAAAAAAAAATTAAGTGACTGTACTTGGGCCCAGGATTTAGCTCAGTGGAGCTGCTACCTGCCTCGAAAGTGCAAGGTCCTGAGTTTGATCCCCGGTACCAAAAAAAAAAGAAAGGAGC